TCCCTTACCAGTTTGACTAAGCACTTGTCGTAGGTGCCTGTCTGGTCATCTCTCATCCACACTTTGCTTCTTAATTTGTGTTTCTTATCTCTTAAAAAAGGAATCTTTTTATCTGTATAACAATAATAATGAGATGCCAATTAATGGATAAGCATGGCCTGACACATGCAATTCCGTATGAGTTTACTGATATATGCCTAATCTTTAATTAGCTGCGTACCCCCCAACAACTGGCTTTTTAATTACAAGATACTTTAATTAATATATAAAGCCTATCAGCTCATTTGAATATGACTGATGATTTACACACCATACTTAGAGGAATAATAATATAATTAATCTTTTCTGATCATCAGTTGCAGCAAATTAAAGCATTGTTATCTGTATCTGTTTATTTAATATTATATTTAATCAAACGTATATATGATTTTTGGTCATCTATCCATGTGTGAACCAAGCTTCTTTAATTTCTGATCATGACTAATAATTAATTACAGAAAATTAACTTCAAATATGGATCTTGAATTCAACTCGCGCATGCACGGGTGGATGTGATGGCCATGGTAGTGACAGATCTGTGTCCCCCCCCCCCCCAAAGTGTCCCCCCCCCCCCAAAGTTTAGTACCACCTTCGGTTCTTAATATAAGATTTTATTTGACTTTTATTTTGGTCTTAAATATAATACCTCAATCTACTTTGTCTCTTATATTTATTTATTTATTTTTCAAAATAGTCCTTCTAATAATGGTAGTTCTAGGTAATAAACTTGATTAGCAAAAATATTTTAGAAAAAACAACACCTATTTATTATAAATAATTAATTTAACTTATTTTTTAATCTACTCATATTAATTAACTAGCTCTTATATTTAAAACTTGAGATAGTATAATATCATGATATGATCAATATGCTAATCGTGTTTTCATTAATTAACAGACAAGTAATTCCCTTAACTCATTTGATTCGGTGAATTAGAGTGAGAAGGTACTAGAAGAAGTGTTGCATCATGCATGTACCTTTTTTTATTAAAATAAAATAAAATTCTATATCATAAGAGTAAGTAATAACGACTAATTAGGAGCAGCTCTTTTTGATTCGGTGTTAAGTTGTCCTTTGTTGCAAAGTTTGAACTTTTAAATTTTTTGTTGCTTCAAATCTTCTGAAAGAAGGAACATCTAATCGGATATTTTATAGAAGTGGATTGACTTCTGTGTTTGGAAATCTCTTCGCGAAACTATACATATAAACTAAGTAACGTTGATAAAAACCAGTTTGAAAGGCAATTTCAATTTGTGCAACGGAAATTTCAGAGCAGCCAAACATATTTGGGATTGGTAAATTGAGTTTTACTGACGGGAGCTGTATGGCTAGAGGATTTGTTTGCCAGGTTTTGTTTTATTTGCTGCCGACACTCCAAACAGCCAAACATAACTGTAATAACTAGCCTAGAGATACATGTGTGTGTGTGTGTATTTATATATGCCTATAGCCGTAATTCCCCCCCCCCCCACCCCAAAAAGAAAAACTTAGATAATTGTATGAGTACAAGGCACGAAAATTACGTATACCTTAAAATAAAATAAGTTACAAGTTGAATTAGTTTTCACAAAAACCAGCGGGAATTTAAATTTAAATACACAGCACGCAAATACTTCTGTATCGAGGGATTAATTTTGCACTTGCTTATTACTATCTTCGAATCTTAATATAAGACTCATTTGACTGATTTGAAAATATTAAAAAGGTTAAAAAAATTAATTAATTATGTGTATCATTAAATTATATATTAGTTTATAAGTTATGTGAATTAGTTTGAAGAAAACAATAAATATACATATTTTAAAGTGATTTTTCAATTTTCTTGATATTTTTAAATTAGTCAAATAAATCTTATATTAAACGGTTTTTAGCTAGTTGGAAATGGAAAACCTATACATACTGGTTAGAACAGCCGATGGACTAGGTTTAAAGTCTCTTTGAAATTTCAAAGGTAGGATTATGTGTGTTGGGGGTTGGATGACACAATGTTTTGTCACCTGTCTCAACACATGAAACAGTGTTTTGTTTGAAATAGGCGCTAATTAATCATTTGCCTCTTTAATTAATTAGAGCCCCTGATGTCCTCATGACGTCATCGTCATCCCTTTCAACGGCCACGATCCGTTCGTTCCCCCCTTGTCATCCGGCTTGGATCAGGCTTCTTAATCATCAAGCATAAACATACGATCATTTTTTTTTAATTAATAGCCTCCAAACATTATATACTTAATATTTATTTAAAGTATATACTGTATATTATGCTTTGCGTTTGTGCTTTCTTTGTGGAAAAGTCAATCAGTTCCCAGAAGTTAACACACCTTCCTCAGCCTTTCAATCCAATCCAATCCTTTATCTCTCTAAATTGAATCAGCTCAGGAGGGGTCCACGCGTTTCAATTATTATTATTATATATATTTGCATCTGGAATTATCTTAATTATTTATTGGATGAAATCCCAGCACAGACTACCAATGATTGGCCATCAAAACTAAACTTTCAACATGATAACTTTATTAACTTCTTTTTTGAAAAAATGATAGTAATACATAATAATTTTAACGGAATATATTCGGTGGGGGTCGTGGAGGGTGGGTTGAATTTAACTTGTCTGCGAGAACAGGAGAGAAAATTGGACTATGAACCTCTCGGCCTAATGCGTAAGAGTTTAATTGTTACATACGCTTAATTAAACCCTTTTTGGACTTCAGTCTAAATTAAATTAATCATCGTCTTACCTCATTAACTTATCTCCAGCAATGCCAACAAAAACCTTGTCCCGTGTAAGTTTTAAATTGCTACATGCATCCATATATTCATATATGATTCCCTAGCTGTTTACTTCTTATTAATCAATAATCATATATGTATATATCATAATTAATCAAATAAAATTTACTGTCCTCCTACAACTACTGCAGGTTCACTGTTTTCCTGTCAGTGTTTCTTTTTTAAATTATTTGCAGAATATCAATATAAAATCTAAAGGTCATCTGGTGGCCAAAAATGTCCAATAGACGTAGTGTCTTCGTTAATTATCCTGTAAAGTAAAAATACTGAATTTGAATCACGCACAAACACATTAAAGGTACAATGTTTGACTCATGTGATGTTGCTATGAAGTTGTAGTGAATTTTCCATTAATGAATTTGTCGGGGCCAGCATCCATTGAATTGAACACAAAAAAAAAAAAGAAGAAGGCAGACATGAAAAAGAAATATTTTGCAGTATTCTTGAATCATATCAATGAAGAACATTTAATTGGAAAGGCACTTATTATTTAATTTTTATATATCCATATCTATCTTTTGTGACTTGAGGGACTGATTGATTTGGAAGTTGGAAGAATCATCAGTATGCTTCAGCACAGCTGGTAATTCACTTTCACGATGTTCTTCGTATAATATCCTAAAATGATTATGACCATGTGTTAATTTATCGGCAGTGAAATATTCCACATATACGTTTTGCAGCACATGTTAATATACAATTCTTTCAAAGGAAGGCAGGTGCAGGTTCATTGATCCTGCGACGCAGGTTTACCTCCAAAGTAAAGCGTTCTAGATTAAGTCTTGTGAGAGGGAAAACGTATTGAGTTATTCTTAAAAAAAATAAATAAATAAATTAGGAAATATATACTCGTAGTAATAAGTATTTATTACAGTGGGCGACAGATCACTTGTGAAAAATAGAATCTTCTTTTAAGATGCTGAAGAGCTGTGAATTCAGAAAGTAACATTATGATTAATTAGAATGGAAAAAGTCACGCATTCTAGAGGTGAGCAAAATTCAGACATTTTAAAGGAAAGTTCATAGAAATACAAATTACGTACTCTTCCTGTCTTTAATATAGAAAAATTGATATTAGTCTTGTATATAAACTTATTTCACATTTTTATTAATTTTTCTTAAATTAATCCTACTGATATTCCCTGAACAATATAGTAATTAAGTAGAAGAGAAAGGGAGAGAATCAAGAAAGATGAGTACGGTATTTAAAAAAACAAATTATATGAATTAATTTAAATAACATATTTAATCTATTCAAATTAGTTAATTAGATCCTATATTAAGAACAGGAAGAGTAAAATATTTCTAGCTTCTTCCTTGCCTTATCAGCTTTGACTTGAGGGTGTGAATGATCGTACGTGAAATCACATATATTCGCTTCAACAGGCACTCCTTTTCCTTTAATGTGCCCTCTTACTTTCTCCATACCGTGAGCCACTGTTGCCATATGAGTATTCCTAAAGACATTTTCATCACCTGTTAATTAAGCCACTCTTTTTATTTTTTTGCCAACGATTAATTAAACCGCTCATGTGCAAACTCTTCTATTGTTTCTGCATATATACTCCATTTTAATTTCCCTTTATTCTTCAGTCGTATTAATTGGGAATTTATGAGGCGAATTTAGCATATCCCCGCACAGAAATTAATATTTTTAACGATTACCAAGTTATATATTCAGTCGAAGACGATTATGATAATAATAATAAAAATTATATATTCGGTTAGTGATCGCAAAGAATTGGATTCCGAATACTGATATACATACATTTTCTCTTGACTTGACTAAGCTTGGAACCGGGCACGAAACCATCCAAAAAATGTTAGGTTGAGGGTGGGGGTAAAGTCGTAATTAAATATTTTAAAGGAGAAAGAAAATGAAGGGAGGGTTGGAGAAGCGGGTCATGAGAAGGCTGCTTAAGAATAATTTAGCATTATGTGTAATTTTCGGGTTGATTTTGAGAGGGTAGATGTATAAATAATGGACGATACGACATACGTCATACGAATAAAATACACGTATCCGAACAAAATACCCCATTGTAGGCTTCCCCAGAAAGTTCCTTGCCCTCCACGGATCTTTCCGATTATGAGCTGTGTTCCTCTACTCTCTACTCCTTCAACTATTTAACCCCTCCGTTTCCCACTCTTTTCCCTCTCTTCATAATTACCACCTCCATAACCCCTCTCTTTCCTCTCTTCCTTTCCCTGCTATCATTATTCTTAATTTCCCAGTAAACTATAGAGATACAATCTTCTGTATATATTATACATAGAACTACGCATATTTGGATTTTAGTTTGATCGATGCAAGAGCCGATCATGGTCGACAAAGGAGAGGAGGCCCTGGATTTGCCTCCGGGTTTCAGATTTCATCCCACGGACGAGGAGATCATCACTTGCTACCTTACGGAGAAGGTCTTGAATAGCAGTTTCAGTGCAACTGCTATTGGTGAAGCTGATCTGAACAAGTGCGAACCTTGGGATCTCCCTAGTAAGTTTCTCCTTATCCCCATATATATCTCGTGATTGATTTGACTAATGAACCTTGGTGCCAGTAATTTGATGATGAATCGACTGGGGACTTAATATGATGCGTGTGAAATGGGTTGTGCAGAGAGAGCGAGGATGGGGGAGAAAGAGTGGTACTTCTTCTGTCAAAGAGACAGGAAGTATCCGACGGGGACGAGGACGAATAGGGCGACGGATTCTGGGTACTGGAAGGCCACCGGAAAAGATAAGGAGATTTACAGAGGCAAAGGGAACCTCGTGGGGATGAAGAAGACCCTCGTCTTCTACGGAGGGAGAGCTCCTAAAGGCGAGAAGACTGGCTGGGTTATGCATGAGTTCCGATTGGAAGGAAAATTCGCCGCTTATAACCTTCCCAAGGCCGCTAAGGTATCTCATCACCAAAACATGACCCATACACAGATCCAATTTAATTTTATCATGAAATTGATCATCATCAATAGTATCACCGTTCCTTTACCTTTTTTGCCCTTTTCCCCTCTTCTGTGTATGTTGGTTTGAAGGTTCCTTTCACATTCTCCTTTAATCATCATGGCTTTTGCTTAATTGGGTTTTAATTGGCATAAGGAGAGAATCTTACAGTTTGGGTGATGATGATAATATTGGTGCAGGATGAATGGGTGGTGTGCAAGATTTTCCACAAGAACACAGACGTCAAAAAGCCCCCTATTATTCCTGAGCTTCTAAGGATCAACTCTTTCGGAGACCATCTGCCGGATTTCTCTCCGTCGCTCCCGCCTCTCATGGATCCAGCTTGCTTCAGTAACGCCGAACAGCCTGGCTACAGTGGCGGCGATGGATTCAAGGTGGCCAACCAGCAGCCGTCATGGGACGGTTATTATCTCTCCAACTTCGCCCGCAACGACCATCTCAGTAATCAGACGGCGTTGGTGAAGGCAGAAGAAGACTGCAGAAACTACGAGATGATCCCCGCTTATCCTCCCTCGCAACCTCGGATAGGAGTCATCCAGAATCCCAGTATGTGCCTTCAGCAGAATGTTGTGTCAGATTTCAGGAACAGAGATGTCGGAGGGGTTGTGAAGAATGAAAACGTGTCGTGGGGAATGGATAAACAGTGCAATATGGAGCATTCGATGGCGAGTGTGTCGCGGGATACCGGGCTTAGCAGTGACAGGAACGCCGAAACTTCATCGGCGGTGTCCGTGAGGCGAGACATCACCGGAAGGAATAAGACAGTGTACGAGGATGATTTCATCCAGACTCCATCACTTGGTCCCCTTCCAGATTTGGATTGCCTCTGGGATGACTACTGACCGCAACAATACATACAAATTGATCACCACATCAAGAGATCCAAGGCCAGTTTGCCCATTAATTTGTGGTTTTACTTTTTCTAGCAGAAATAGTCCTGGTTTTTATAATGTCTTCTATATAAGCGGATTGATTTAGAAGTTCTTGGATACACATATACTGTACAGATTATATATATGATATCCAAGCCTTGTCTCGGCGTCATAGATTTTCGTTCATAGAACGTATGCCAAGGGATTTGATCGATGAACACTCATGTGCATCCTGTCATTCTTTTTTTATGCTAATTTAGCTTGTGTTCTTTAATTAATTTATTTCGTCTGTTAATTTAACGATTAGTTGCTAGCTATTCCAAAGTTCAACTTGTAATTTGTGTACATATGGATTGAATTTTGCTATAATTTCTTGGTGTAAATTAATATGCGCACTAGTATCATTGTTCTCTCTCTCGCTATATATATATATATATATATATGTATGTATATGTATATATTCTTGTTGAGATTCCAAGCAAATCAAGCTATGGCATTCATTTAAGACCCTTCGGTTTAGCCCGTAATATTTTATGCCTGTCGAATATATTTATATGACACCCCACCATCCAAGAGGGGAGGCAGCAGCATTAATTCCGAAGAAAATCGTACGTTTTTCCTTTTAAAATTTCAACTTTCGAATTTAAAGGTTCTGCTTGCCTAGTGCTTCCCACCACGACATGACTGCTGCCTTTTTTCCCGTCAAGAAATGATCACGCGCCCCCATTTATACTTCTGTTACGACCTACACATTGACTAATTAAAGAAGCTAACAGTACAAATTAGTTCTGATCGTCATAGTACAGCTCCATATATGGACATCAAGAACATAGTACATTTTGGATTAGATTAATGAAATTTGAAATATAGTTAATATAAGTACAACGACTGGTTAGTACAAGAGCGAGAGTGGGTTTATATGTATCCCTGCTGGAACTTGAAACAGGCATGGGTCAAATGGATGAAGCATGTGGAGAATTCCCTGAAAGTGTGCAGTGGATGCCTCCAGGAAGGGGTTTTAATTGATATAGAATATGAGCATAGGGTGGCAATAATCAGGCTGCATAATTATAAAACCGCGACACAACAAGATTAAAACTGATGAATCTTGTGTCCGAAGTAACCTCGTAGTCCTCGCATGTGCCTATGCCTCCCACTGAGTTCCCATAAGGCGAGCCTGTGCTTTCTTTCCCAACCGGTTTTTGACATTTGTACTTTTCTACATTATGCATAGTACACACGTCTCGTAGATTTGCATATCCATACCTTGCTCAAGCAACCTTCATCTATTCGCTGTTGCTGGCTAGGCTTAGCCAGCTAGCTAATGGGTTTTGAATTAATATTTCATTATTTCTCTCTGCACAAATATATAAACACACATCTGATGCCAATGCACAGATATAGGTCTGTATATATATCACTGTATTTAAAGGGATGAGATTGGTCTCATATATGTCGGAGGAGATGGGAGAAAGAGAGCGAAGGGTAAAAGGGCACCTGTCTCTCACATGTGGAGCAAGAACAGCACAGGTGGCGCTAGGGCCACAAGGTTCGTGTGGTTGTTTATCGATCTCTCGAATGGGAAAATCACTGCATATGTTTTTATTTCCATTCTAAGCAAAGCGTTCTTTGCGGGTTTTATGCTTGCGGGGAACTTAACCGCCTTAATTTGGTCGTGTCTTATTCTGGTCTGTTTCATTAGATTCCACTCCTGGGGCGAAAAGAAGTGTAGAATGGGAAAAGGGTGAGAAAGTGATTTATGAGAAGCAAAGAAAAAAGGTTACGTTTGGTAGAAAGCATTAAAAATGAGGGATTGGGATTGGGATTACAATTGAAAAAATCTATTAAGAGAGTGTTTAGTATAAGAGATTGTTTGATATATGGGATTAGTCAAAGCCATGTATGTGGGATTAGAGAATACCATGGGGGGAAGTGGTATTCCTCAATCCCACCTTTATGGGCATACCTAATCCCATATAACAAACAATTATTCATACTAAGTACTATTTTAATGATTTTTTCAATTGCAATCCCAATCTCAATCCCTCATTTTCAATGCTTCGTACCAAACGGGACCAAAGGGTAATAACATGGACACATATGAAGGGGGAGAGAGAGAGAGGAGGGAGGGAGGGGGGGAGGGAGAGAGATGAATTATGTTGAAGAAAAGCATATGCTTGTTTGTGAATCAGAGAACCCTGATTTGTTGCATGAAAACAAGGTGGGTGTGGGGGCTCACCGGCCAATGAGGATTCTCCAGCAATTCATCGTCTATCACTGTCTCGTTGAAAACTAAGTGGATTTGATGAACACATATATATGATATGTCCATTATATTTTATGTATATAAATTGATGGCCAATCAACCTCAGCTTATGTCATCTTCTACGATTCATCCATTCTCTGCAGGGATTTAATTATTAATCGTCGCCGCTTTTCCCCACCTCTGGTTATTTCTCTTTCTGTCAAGTATTTTAAAAATGGACTTTTTATGTATACCTTTGTCTATACGTGTGAAAACTGAGCCTGCACACTTGACCTTAATGAAATTTATTTGAATATCTCCTCGTAGAGGAGACGGTGGGTGATCTCACCTAATGTACTACGTATGTTGCAATTTCCAATCTGTTAACTGTTTTTTTCACGCGAATAACTAATAGAAACTCATTTCATTAGGCGTATATTCAATCCATAGTTTTGATGGCCAAAAAGAAATAAAATCCATCCATAGTTTCTAAAAATAGGAACCCTCCCACAAAATATATACTATCCTGGTCTTAATTATAAGACCTTGTTTGTGGTCTACAAATAAGATCTTATAATTAAGACCGGAGGCAGTGTATGTGTGTGGTCGTCACTCTTCTCCAATAATGCTTACCTAGCCTGGACGTGGACTTGAAGGAGTCAGCAAAGTTCTCAAGTTCAACGGTTTACAATTATGAGCTGCAGTCGTAAACCCATTTATATGATTTTTCTAGATATGCCAATTATATACGAATGAAATAATTAATGAGGATCTTCTTGAAACTTTAAGGACTATAATTAGAAGCGGAATTCATAATATAGAACTTACCTGAACATGATTTTACCTCATAGCTAGCTAGCCCTCACCTAACGCAAGAGAATCTTACCCTCAAACATAATCATGTCGCTGAGCGGCGCTTTATGAGCAGCGAATTCTCCATACAACATGAGATGCTTTTAATTAATGAAAATTACTAACAAATGACAAACGATAATAATGAATATGACTAATGATGGCTGCCGGAAGGTGGCTGCAACCTTGCTTTTCATGGTTACTGTGTATTATTAAATCTCCGGTTCAATTATAAAGCCTGGTTCTGTCATCTCCCAGAATTACATATCAATCATTATAGTGAATAATGGGACCGATATTGGGTCCTAATTATTAACTTCAGAACTCGTATAATTATTGGGATTCTACATTTTTCCACTTCTATATTCACACCCAGATATTTATTATGCCTGCATATAATTCCACACAATATAAACGCATGAATAATAATAAGAGATGATTAAGATGCGTACGTGTATCCGAAACCTAACCATCACGCTTGAACTATTGACCTGTGCTGTCATTAATCCAAAACCTAAATATCGAGCAGTTTATTGACCAGGTGTCAAACATATGCGTATAGGGTTTAATTAATTATTAGATTGGTTGAGATAATCAAACGTGTATCATCACAATTATTGATTCCTCCTAAATTCAACTTGAGGCGAAGTTCCGAGGCTGCCTTGAGACAAATCAGAGGCTGATAATTATGTGTGCGGTGGCAGATGTGTATGCACATATTTTGATAGTCCCATGAGACATCATATTCTTAATCACACAGCATCAGCAAATGTCTCCACGTCATATATACTAGTGACCAGCCAATTAAACACGAGTCTTGAGAGGAAACTGAAAACCTTGAAACCTTGTCAGGTCCTCTTTTGCTTTTTCGTCTTCTGCTTGGAAATTGTATGAGACTTCCATCTCAAGCCTTCTTTTCTTGGCAGCGAACTAATCGTAATAAAGCAGAGTCTTCACGTCAATAAAGAAGAAAAGCAGGGTACGTAGAATTTCTGAAATATTTCCCATCTGATTTCCATCCGCATTTATGTTGAATTATGGGAGTGTTTGGCTAATCCCAGAAGTACTTTTCCGTAAATCGAGACAAATTCCTCTTTATACTTATTTCGTATACCGTAAAAGCACTTTTAAATCTGTTTCTATACCTAAACACCTTTTGTCTGATGTGAATTCGTTTGATGAGCAGCCAGAAAGAAGTGGATAGATACTATCAGACTACATATATTTGTGTTGTTTTGTTTTTGGTAATTCGACTGGTTGTGTGGGCATATGAGGCCACTGGCTAATATAATGTCTTCACTCGTTAATTAGCATTGATCTCTGTCGTGCGATCGGCTTTCATCCTAATTATTCGAAAAATGGAGATTCCACGTTATTTTTGGTGCACTGTTAGTATATATTTCTTTTCTAAGAATAATGGGTACCTCGTCATTTTAGAATATAAGCATATACATGGCTAAGGAATAAAAGAAATTGAATTATTTGTATGTATAAGTCTCACGTGAAACTGAATCAAAAACTAGTTTTGCATTACAGGTAATTACGGGATTTTTATAATTTATGAAAAGCTTACATATTTTATCCTGTGTGTGTGTGTAAATTCCCTTCATATTTATATCTTGTATATAATATACATGAGTGCCCCACTTGCTGGCCAAAAATAAAAAGGATAGATGCCCCACTAAAATGTAATCGTAAAGGCATAATGTTTTTTGCCCCCTTTCTAACCATTTTTCTTGCGCTCTAGAGGCTTTGGGCCAACAACGCTTTTGGGGAAACTTACAATCAATTTTTTGAAAAAGCCTTATTCTGCAAGAGAAAGGAAGCGTTCTTAAGGGTGGCAGGTGGGCTTAGGCCCAACAGCCCAGAATGAATTAGGCCCAAGAGACCTTAATGGAATCAAAATCCAGAGGACTAATTCAACGGCCCCACTCACAGGGGAAGCGTCCAAGAGAAGGCGAGTGGAGTGATAATCGGAGGTACGTTGTTTCGACACCAAAACATATCCTGGTCAATGCGTTACGGTGGATAAAGACGAGACCTGCCTTATACGCTACTCCATTTTATCCTTAATTTTATCCATTTCCGCCTATTTTTATCCATTTATTTATTATTTTCCCCCATTTTTCGGTTTCTTACTCAATGAATGAATTATGAAAGCAGCTTCCAGGATGCCACGTGTTCCTACTGGGAAGTTCCGTCACGCGCCTTTCCCACGCTGCCCCCATATCTCGCACCGTGTTACTCCCACTATCTCTGTTTCACCGTC